TTTTGGAAGCCGGGGTCAGGGGTGCCGACCCCCGACCCCCGGGACCCCCGCCGGGGCCCCGGGCCCGGGGGTCGACAACCCTGAATAAAGTCACCAGGGCTAAAGCCTTTTAGGTTGAGTATGAGGAGTGCGTTGGAATTGAGTCGTGGACCAACGAATCGGCAACCAACCTGTTATCAGTGATAACAGAAGATAATCCTCGTAGGATCAAGCTGAATCTAGCCCAAATCCTGAATCAGACGGTCAAGATGACCTGTAACACACGACAGGTCAACCCCTAGGCAAAATCAGAATAAACACAGCGGATCATGACTGCTCATGCAGCCCAATCATACTAACAATCCCGCTCCCTTGCATCACTGAATCAGCCTCAATCTCACGTCAAACCTTGCATTAGGTTTGGCCTCATGCATCATCATAATCGATCATCAATCTTAGACCTGACCCCATCGCTAGGTCCGGTCTAACAGTCCAAGTCTCAATCATAGCCTGCACGTCTCATCATCACTGGATCAGTCCATCTCATCCATACTGCCTATCAGTACAGCATAATCCTCATCGATATCTCAGCCACGGGCGGCTATAGGACCAATCATCGCATCCAGGATCATCGAGGTCATCTAGACCGAAGGCTGCCTCATAAGGGGTGAACATACCAAACCCCTTTCTCTTTGTGTGCCGGCTCTGTGTCGCTCACTGTCGGGCATACCAAACCCCGTTGTCTCTGTCTGCCGGCTCTGTGCCGCTCACTGTCGGGTCATACCGAACCTCGTTGTCTTCGTCTGGCTGTAGGGTACCTGCAAAACAGTTGTCAAGTCATGCCTCAAAAGAAAGACGAGAAAAATGATCTCTCCTAAAGACCCTTGTCGACACCCCTTCCTCACTCACTCTCAGAGTCTTACCTTTCGGCCTTCCGAGAATGCCCCCGCTCGCCCTGGTGGGCTCCTCCGCTGACCCAACCCGACAAGCAGAGCAAAGTCAGTCCTGATTCCCAGTCATGGCGGTCCGACCACCCTCTGAGCCCTTGCTCAGAACAGCTCACGGGGAGCCGCACACCCTTTCATGAAGCCCTCACTCCGATGAGTGCAGACCCATGGCGCGGAAGCTCTTTAGTCGACTTCATAACCTCCGTCTACTCGCTCGACTTCTTTCTAACGCCCGGCTCTTGCTACTGTGCAGGGAGCCAGCCAACACCCAACCAGACACTGCTGGTGAGTCGGAGCGAGTCCACAATTAAGCTTTGCAACAGTGGGCTAGGAGACCATAATGGCCCTGTTGGCAGCTGGGCTGTGGATACCTGGCTTGGCTCGGCGCCAAGGGAATGCCTCTGGAAACACTGCTCCCGAGAGACACCCCGATCAGAGTGATAGTAGGAGTCCACCACCTTGATCAGCCAAATGTCGGATTTAGACTGGGAGAGGCTCAGGATGCCTCCTTCCTTTCTAGCAGGCGGACCAGATCACCATACGATGACCTGAGGAACGGCTAGCCACTCTAGGGTCCGGAGTTATCTGCCACTATGGCTCAGACACTCCGCCGATCCAGCTAGTCTCTAGACCTTATGAGAACCTTCTTCAGGGAATCATCTCTTGCTCAAGAGGCGCAGTCAAAAACTCTTCGCCTCTTCATGAAGGACGCTAGTGCTGACACCGCAGGGGACGTCACTGTGGATAGACTCTCGTCGGGGAACCGTTGCGAGAGTCCGACGGCTGCAGTGGGAACACTCCTTCCAGCATGAAGAATGCAGCGAGCCTCAATCCGCTGCGATGCTAAGTGATCTTTGTCCGATCAAATGATTGGACAAATCACTCCATCGATTATGACACATGACTGATTACCTATCCCTTTAGAGCTTGGTAGCGTTTAGCCACGAAGACCCGTCTGGAGAGGAACCCCATCTCGGCGATGCTGAGTCCCTTGCCAAGGGAACACTTCTTTGGGCCAAATGTCACCCTCCTTCAGAGATAGCTAATCAATTTGTGTCAGATGATGGTAGACAATCCTCCTTACGCAGTCATACTAGAAGGTTGCCCCATCAACTGAGCGCTGAGTTATGAGAGGAAGAAAACAAATTTTACTTCATCTCACAGCCATTCATTTCATAAATGTCATTCAGACTAATAAAATACAATAAGAGGCAAAAATTGAAATCTCATAAATTGGTTCCCAATCCCCCAGGCATGTCCCAGGACTGACACATGACAAGCCATATACAATGCAATGAACTGAAATTTTAAAAGTTTAACTCACATACATGCAAAATTGGGGCCAATCTGGGCCCGGCAGACACATAAGTCCACCAATGAGCCGAGCCATCATAGGCTGCTCGTATCCAGCTCCGGCATCCGAAATCATACCATAATCATAGCAGCCGACTGTCAGCTGCTATTGGCGGCACATGGGCCACGTCCCAGCACATAATCATCATCGATAGTTGGCGGCTCACTGGCCACGCCCCAGGCAAATAATTATCATCATCTGTAGCTGGCGGTAACACTGTCCACATCTCAGCTCATAATCATCGATAGCTGGCGGCTCACTGGCCACATCCCAGCAAATAATCATCATCTGTAACTGGCGGCAACACTGTCCACATCCCAGCTCATAATCATCGATAGCTGGCGGCTCACTGGCCACATCGCAGCCAATAATAATCCTCATCTGTAGCTGGCGGCAACATTGTCCGCATCCCAGCTCATAATCGTCATCAACTGAAGCTAGCGGCACACTGTCCATATCCCAGCATATAATCGTCATCAACTGAAGTTGGCGGCACACTGTCCACATCCGAGCATATAATCGTCATCAACTGAAGCTGGGGGCACACTGTCCACATCCCAGCATATAATCGTCATCAACTGAAGNCACACTGTCCACATCCCAGCATATAATCGTCATCAACTGAAGTTGGCGGCACACTGTCCACATCCCAGCATATAATCGTCATCAACTGAAGCTGGCGGCACTCTATCCACATCCCAGCATATAATCGTCATCAACTGAAGCTGGCGGCACTCTGTCCACATCCCAACATATAATCGTCATCAACTGATGTTGGCGGCATACTGTCCACATCCCAGCATATGGTGAGGGCACACTGGCCACGTCTCAACATGTTTGGGTTGATGCTAGACGGCTCTCGGGCCTCGCCTCATCACTCTGTCCGAACTCGGAATCAAATCGGCGTCTCTAAGTATGAATTTTCGGAGTCGAGAGCCGGATACTATACCATGAGATCTCGTACCATCCATCTCTGCTAACTCATAGGCCTTGCCTTCAACCTCTCTGATGATCCTGAATGGTCTCATCCACCTGACCTCCAATCTCTTGGTCCACTGCATCTCGAGAGATGTATCATGCAGAAGTACAGTATCTCCGATTTGAAGTCGTTCCTTCCTGATGTACCTCTTGCTGTTCCATCGTGTCTGATCAAATAACCTGCTGTCTGACATCCTCTTCATGGCCTCAATTATGGCCTCATCCACTTCCTTGATCTGC